GGTTTTTTTATTTATTTTCTATGAATTTTTTAAGTCTGAAATTTTCCCCCTGTGGGGAAAATTTCAGACTTGATCCAATTACTTTAAACGTTTTGTTTTGAACAATTTTTTTAATAAACTTTATTTTTATTTATAATTATTTTTATAAATATTTGTAAAGAAATTAACCAGTCATCATTAAAAGTTCATAACTTTTGATTAATTTCTTAAGTAATGCTATTTAATATAACAATCTTTTTTTTCTGGATTTAAATATAATTAATTAAATATTTTTATTAAAATTTAAATAAATTTGTTTATTTTATTCTAAACAACACTATTTTAATTTGATGAAATTTTTTTATTTGAAAAATGTCTGATAAGGAATTTAAATCAAATAATGAACAAGCAAGAGATATTTTCAATAGAGTTCAAGCATTGGTATCAAAAGGGATATTTAAACATATAAAAACAGAATATGGTGGATATGGATCTATATTACGATCTGAAGAAAAAGATGATGATATTAAGAAATTAAATGAACTTAATGAAAAACTCTTATCTATAAAAGATTTAAAACAGAGGTTATTGTGTATAATAGAAGCAATAATTCAAACTATAAAAGTAATTAATAAGAAAGTTTATGGATTAACAGAATCTATTGAAAAACATAGATCACTTAACAGATTAGCATTTGAAGCTATCAATTTAATTACTAAAAACAAACAAATACTTTCATATGATGATAAAATTCTAAAACATCTAATGTTTATTAACAGACAATATGTTATGTTTAAATTAGTTGATGATAAAAATAATTTCAATTCATACTTTAAAGATAACATTCTAACAATGAGAGCTTTAGATAAAGAATTAAAACAATATAGACTTAAGAATTTACCACTTGAAGATTTTGTTAAATTATTACAAAATTACTTTTTAGAATAAAATTTATTAAACTTTCCAGTTATATGAGCACTTAAGACATCTATAGAATATAGTCATTGGTTCATCAGCTGATCTTGTCTGAATTTCTTTAAATAAAGCCCTGTTGTAATTACATTTAGGACATTCAACATCACATTTGTTACCATATTCACTTTCATCTTTCAAAATACCATCGTTTATTTTAACATTAAATGATTCTTTAAAACTTAATGTTTGATTAATTTTACTTTCATGTTCACAAACACAACACTTTAATGAATTTGATTTAAGTTTTAATGAATTTTCACAAATTGGACAGAAAAACATTTTCTATTAAAAAATCTTTTCAAAATAAAATTATAAAAATTTTAGAATCAATTTATAAAAGTAATTTAGGTTTGTTTTTAAAAACTGCTATTATCTATTAAACTTTAATTAAATTTTAAAACATACTTTAAATAATCGATAGACTTTTTTATTAAGATAAGTAACTATTAAAAAATGCTGTTAAAGTGGTTTTTTATTATTAAAATTTTTAATTAAGTAGAAATTTTGTTTTTGCTTTCTTGAAATTTTTTAGAGATTAATTTGATAAAATTTATTTCTAACTTAACAAATACTTTTGTTTAATTTCATTGTTATAAAAATTTAAGGTGTATTTTAGAATTTCTTGTTTTATTTAAAATTAATAATTATTAAAAAATTAACAAAAATCATCTTAGATACACTTTAATTTTTAAATTAATAACAATCTTTATATTTAATACTCTTATCACTAAAAATAAGCAATCTAATAATATTAAAATCAAAGCTTTTTTTTTTAAATTTTTTATAATCCTTACCTTATGATTATTTACAGTGATAGTCTAAAAACTTATCAATTTAAAGTATTTAGAAAATATTTTACATGTTTTTATCTATTTATAGAATAGTTACGTATTAAATATCTTTATTTTAGAAAAAACTGAGCATTTAATGTTAATAAACTAATAAAAAATTATAAATGTTGATCAAAAAATTTACAAAATTCTATCTTTCAGTAAGATAAGGATTCAATGCATACTGGTAAGTTAACAGATGATTGTTTAAAAAATTTATTTCAATTTTTAGATTCAAAATTTGAATCTATTAAAAATCTCTGGTAATATTTAAAACCTATGAGTATGTAACTACTCTATAAATACATACAGATAGAAATAAAAATTAAACTAATATTTTTGAAATACTTTTAATTATTTACGTTTTTTTGACCGCCACTGTAATAATTAAAATCATTATAACTTTTATTAAAATTAATAAATGCTAAGTGTCTAATTCCTAGTTTAATACATCGTTTTTATATTTTTAAAGCATTATTCCATATTTAATATACAGTGGTGGCCAAAAAAATTGCAATACCCGCATAGATTAAATATGAAAACGATGAATTTTGAAACTGACAATA